TGGATTCTTTTTTTTTTTTTTGAGTTGGAGTCTCACTCTGTCGCCCAAACTGGAGTGCAGTGGCCCCTCCCGGCCACCGCAAACTACACCTGCTGGGCTCTGGCGATCCTTCCGCCTCAGCCTTCCGAGTAGCCGGAATTACAGGCATGCGCTACCACGCCCGGCTGATTTTTTGATTTATTGTAGAGATGAGGTCTCGCTGCCCAGGCGGGTCTCGAACCCGCGAGCTCAGGCAATCCTCTCACCTCAGCCTCCCAAAGGCGCGGGATTACAGGCTGAGCCACTGAGCCCGGCTAATATAGTATCTTTAATGGAGCCACATAGTCCAGACACTACTGAGAATTCTGTATCTGAAGAGAATAATCTTAAGCCTGCTTTCCCATTTTGTGTCATATCCTGTTTCCTCATTTATGTCATTTATTATTATGTATGTCGAATATAGACTGCTTTGAAATGCTGTGTGGTTTTCCTTTACAGAATCCAACATTGTAAGACATGTTGAATGTTTTTCTCTTGATGATTGTTTATTTTGAAGCATCATGAACTTACTTGACCTATGGGTTTTGTGAAAGAAATGAAAGAGGAGTCTAAAAAAGACATGGTGGTGAGTTTTATTGTGCCACAAGCATAAGGAACAGATGTCTGCAGTTATCCCGACTTGGCCAGGACTGGCTTTTTGTTGTTGTTATTGTTGTTCTAGTTAGTGCTTTTCTCATAGAGTTCTCTTATAACTGTGATAACAAGCATTAGGGCTGAGTTACTAATGAATTATATGCAGACTAAGCTAGTTTGGGGGATAAACTGTTACATTTAGTGTAAGACATATATGGTTTGGGGAGGTATAATTATTTCCCTTGGCGGTAAGCTTTTAGGGATGTCTAGAGCAATTTGTCTAGGTACTTTTCTAGTGCCAGTGAGTAGGTAGTGTGTGATACAAAGTGCCAAGAGCCAACAAGAAGATGATCTCCAGATGGAACCACTAAATACAAATACTGCACTTTTGGACCTATTTTTCCATCTCTTCTAGTGCTTTTTTATAAATTTCTTCACTGATTCTGTGGGAGGATGGGAAGAAATTGGGAAAGTTGTGGCAGTAGAGATAGGCTAAACTACATGAAGTGTTTCCAGTTTTTTGTTTTTGGTTTTTGGTAGAGGTAAGTTTCATACAACAAACAGCCTACTTCCATGATACTAGTCTGTAATGTGAGGCTAACAACATTAACCAAGTATCTATAAGCCAGACCAGTCTCTGTTTTCTCTATGTTGACATGAGTCAAAGGAATCCATAGCTAATACAGATTATAGTGGGTAGTATAGGATGGGGAGAAGTATGGTAAGATCATTTCTGATAACAATAAAATGTTTGCATAGCAAAATATTCAGTTTTCACATTCAATTCTATTTATGACAAAAGCTTATTATAGTTTGGTCTGTCCTTTTCCTCAGCCTCTAGAACGATTTTCTTTCCACAATTTCAGCCACTTAACTCTAGCTTTTAGTCTCAACATCACTTTAAACTGTAAAGTACATCTTTGATGGGAGGAAGAACCTAACAAGCTTAAGTCCAACATTCTGTAACTTAGCATAAAGTTTCACCATGACCTAAAGCCTTATTTTTTTTTATAGTAAGGGTGTTACGTTTTCTCAGAGAACTACCCCCTATGTTTTAGACCCATCAGAATGACTAGGACTGGTGTTGGTGTAATATATTCAGTCTTTCTACCACTGAGGCCCTTCCTTACTCTCTGTATACTCTCTTTTTGGTTTTATTAATGACTGGAATCGTTTAAACCCCTACATGGTGCCTGGGGTCCTACCAGATACTTGTAGATTTGTTAGTGTCAATTGCTCAACTGATGGGTGCTCCAAATATTCCTTGCTCCTATAATTTTCATTCCAGTTTACTATGTACCTTTGAAGGCATTCTTCTACCTCATGTTGGACTCATTCTCATCCAAAGACCTACTCTTTATCAGTTCTCATACTTTCTAGAAACCCTATTATGCCTAGGTCTGCATTTATTTGTGTCAACTCTCACTGAGTTTGTTCTTACTCCAAGTTTCTATGTTTAGAAAATGGAAAGTGTAAGACATATGTAGTTTTTCTAACTTCTGATAGATTTAGGTCACATTTGTGTCTTGTCATATCTATGAACATGTACCATTTGTACTTTCTGGCCAGTATATACTTATTGTATTTTTGCCCCTAAATTCCAAAAGAGTATTTTATAATTTAATACCAACTTCAAATGTGCCTAATTGTAAGTTTGCAAATTATGCGATGCTAACTTGTCTTTCCTTTTCCAATTAGCAATTTACTAACATTGACATATTTTTAACTATATGGAAATCTTGAGAATTTTAAATGCAGGTGGATTTAAAATTTATTGGAATATGACTGTCTCAAAAATGTTAATAAAGGCAATGGTTTGTAGCCATTTGTTCATTCATTTATTTATTCTCTAACTGACCTTTCTGATCCTGTTTAACCAGCTCTTAAATGGTTGTGAAGATTACTAACAATGTATGTAAAGTTACTTTCATAAGTTAGAAACTAAAACATACAAATTATGTAAAAATCTGGTATTCTAATAACTCACAATTGAATCTGGAATTTAGTACTCTATTCTGCCTTTAGACATATTGTAGTTCATGCTGCCTTTGCTGTTCCACTTGCAGCAGAATTCAAAGTTTTTCTCACAGGAACAGATCTTTCTTCGTTTTATTTGTGTGGAAATGTTGAACTTGAGCTCCATTCCTAGTTATTTTTTGGTATTTTCTCTTACATAGACAGTATGCCCACCTCTAGCATGACACCTAGTATGTGACAGGAACTCAGCAAAAGTTGGGTAGTGATGGTAGTTTATGTTAACAAAATACTTTTTGGAGGGTAGTCACGCAGTGTCTTTGAAATTTTTTAGTTTTATATTTTTTATTTCAGGAATTCCACTTCTAGGAATTTAGATATATCATGTAGTATAAGATGTTTACATGCCAGCACTATTTTGTTTTGTTTTTAGTTAAATAATACCCCTGAAGACATCTAAAGGTGCATCAATATTGGACTGGTTACATAAATAGTACTATTTTCTTTTCTTTTTTTTTTTTTTTTGAGTTGGAGTCTCACTCTGTCGCCCAGACTGGAGTGCAGTGGCCGCTGCCGGCCACCGCAGCCTCGACCTGCTGGGCTCCGGCGATCCTTCCGCCTCAGCCTTCCGAGTAGCCGGAATTACAGGCGCGCACTACCACCCCCGGTTGATTTTTTGATGTATTGTAGAGATGAGGTCTCGCTGCCCAGGCGGGTCTCGAACCCGCGGGCTCAGGCAATCCACTCACCTTAGCCTCCCAAAGGCGCGGGATTACAGGCTGAGCCACCGAGCCCGGCTTTACTATTTTCAATTAAATTACTTATAATCAGTCAAATGCTCTATAGTCATTAAAAACCTAGAAAGGATGTAAGCATAAATTGACTGAAAGTATAGTGTTGAAGATATATTGTAGAATATGTATAGTACGCAGCTTTTGTATAAAAGTAGAGAATATACGTACATGTAAAGGTAAATATTTACATACACTAGGCAAAATGTAACTGGAAGCATATGGAAGAACACACAAGGAACTGGGGACAGTAGGGTTGAACTTTCCATCCCCTGAATTTTGAAGACGACCTGTGCTACTGACCCCCGTCGCAGGAGGGCGCTATAGCCTCCAAAGTCCTGTTTGCCAACCAAGCGTCTCAGTAAACCCCAGAACGAGGCCATCGTGATGGGCGGTGGCGCATGCGCAGTAGCGAGGCGTCGGGACTGCCTGGGCTGCCGAGGTTTTTCTGGTCTGTGGTGTTATCCTGGCACTTAGGGCTTGGAAAAGGCTCTTCTGGCCGGCTTGGTGCTGGGTGGCTGGCATTTCGGGGTTCACGTAACAATGGCATGATGCTTGCAGTGGCTGGAGCCGGGACGCGACTTTTCTGGTCGCTTCTCAGCCGAGAAGGGTGAAAACCGCATCCGGAAAGGTAATCTACCTTGTCGCCTAGGCTTGGCCCTCCTAGCCCATCGCTTCTGGTCCTGGGTTTGTATCCTGTGGTCTGTGCCTCAGACACCGGCTGCCCCTAGCTTAGAGGTATTGACCTTCGCTGAGCCTCGCCCAGCAGCTAAAGGGGCCAATGTCTGTGTTGTCCTGTGATTGCACCTCGTTCTTTTAAAAACGAGGTTCTGGCCATTGCTCGCAGATAAAATAGGGACGGGACTGTTAGTGTTGGGGACCCTGGTTGCTTAACACTATGGAACCAGCCCCCAGGTCCTTAAATTGTTGTGTTGCACAGAACATCTCGGTAAGTTTGAGTGGAGGAACCCACTAGTATTGTCCTGACACCTGACGTGGAAAGTTGGTGCGTGTCGTTTCCAGAAATCACAGAGAGCATACGTACTGTTTCCCCTACTAGTAGGTGTCCTTTGAGACTTTACTCGATGAGGTGATTGATTTTGAGATTTTGCTCATATGGCAGTGAACTGTTTTTACTCCTTGAGACCTTCCTTTCCCCCCATCTCCTTCATTTTATCTCCTGAGTGTCTTTTGAATCTGTCATCTGTGCGTCAGCACTGTAATACAGGTTTTGTTTGACCTATGGCAGTTGAAGTCTTAACTAGTGTCTCATACCTATTTGTTTCCTTCTAATCCATTCCTTACAACAAGAAATCTTTTAAATAGGTCATTATTGAAAATAGAAAATAAATTTTAATTGGAATATTGCTCATAAGTATTGCTCAAACTTCTCATCATGGCATTTGCCATACAGCTCTGCACGTCTGGGATCCTCTGCTTCTCCAGCCCCGTATTTCACCTCTCTTGTCCTCACTCTCGATACTCCATATATTTGGAATTAATCCTAGTTAATCCTACTTTTCATTTTGATTCCTGGCATTAAGCGAAGTTCACAGTCCCTTTGTCAGGTTTTGTTTTAAAGTATGAACCTCAGGTTCTCTACAGATTGCATTTGATGGCATCAGTTGTATGAAGACTAAAACTGTGAAGTGAAATAATTGCATTTAAGTTATTTCAGTGAACGTGTATATATTAATGGTAACTTAGTATTGGATACTTGGCTAGGTTTTTATTAGATATTCATATGTTGGCCATCTCTGGTTTTAGATGTGCTTATCTAAAAGTTATTTGGGGAGAACTTTGCACTGTTTTGTTGTCTTGAATCTATTTTCAAGATGAAGACACAGGAAGGAGGATGATATAGGCTGCTACTAGGTCAAGTTGAATATGTGGAGTGACAAGATGCAAACCAAAGAACTGAGAGGACATGTGTGGGGCTGTGATTTCCGTTTTAAGGAGTTTTATTCTATCCAGGGATGCATGGCTAACATACAACTTGACTAACAAAACACTGTGTCCAATAGGTGGAAAAACTACCTCCTATTAGACAGTGGATACCTGAGACTCATTTCATGACTTTCAAAGTTCCTTTGCAAAGGTAAGCAAAAGCTAATCCAGTATTCTTTCAGAAATCTGAGTTTACCATGTACCATGTAGGACATTGGTTCTGAAGCCTATCACATTCCATTTTCCCTTTTTACAGCATATAATTTGTAATGCCTTCTTTCTATCCTGAAATAAAATTCACGGGTACATATAACTGACATCCAAACAGGTTTCTAAGGAAAAGCAAAACAATGTAAAATCTGAACTATAATATAAGGGCTAAATAGTAATTTTTAATAAAGCATTTCCATATGTAAATGTACATGACTGCCCTAGAAGATATAGAGAAATAGTTGCTTGCACCATAAGTCCAATAACTATTTATGCAGACTTGTTCAGATGAGTTATTTTGCTTTACTGGTAGGAGTTTCTATAATAATGAGCAGCTCTTAGAAAATTTCCAAACAAAAAGAAGTGCAATCTTCACTTGGTTGATAAGGTGACTACTCTTCAGGAAAATCAGTGTATATTAAAACTGTACAAAAAATACTTTGTGATTTGTGAAATGGGGTTAGGTTGCAAGCTTAAGATAAATATGAGCAGTTTTTTTTAAACCTATGTTAATGTTGACTGGGACATTTAAAAGTCTTTCAGGGTATGAGATTCATTTGCGTGACTGTTCTGTATTTGGCAAACTGTCTGGTATATATAACTCTCACCCACTGAATGCCAACAGGACCCTTTCCCCTCCATTGTCATAACTCCCCCCCCCCAAAATATACCCTGAAGCATCAAGCTCTGGATTTCATCTTGGAAAGCTCTGCTGCTTGAATCAAGACCTGTTTCCTCTTCCTGGGGTTCTTTTAGTCTGATCTTTGTTTGTCTGGTTCTGTCTTATCATTCATTTCTCAGCTTAGATGTCACCTCTTCAAAGGGAACTTCTCTGATCACCCATTTTAAGAAACGACCCAATCACCCTGTATCACTTGTTCCTGTTTTAATTCTCTTCATAGTCCTTACCAGGGTGTGATGTGGTTTGGGATGTTTATTGTCTTTCACTTCCCACTAGGCTATAATTTCCAGGAATACAAGATCTTTTTCTGACTTGCTTACGGCTCTATGCCCAGTGCATAGAATCACTTGTGATCCCAGATGCACCCAATATATATTGTAAGATGTTCAAATATTGTTGAGCTAAATGTTATCTGTCTCCAAATGAATGACAGGAATGCACTGGGCAGTGATGGTGACAACTGAGATGAACAATGAAAAATAAAGACCATTATGTTTTCAGGACCAAGAATTTTCTACAAGGCAGTTAGAGCTAGGATCAGAAAGCTTGAAGGCTAGTTCCCTTTGTTAGTTGAGCAAATATGTATTGAGTGTTATGCTGATGGATCAATATCAGGCATGAGTCTTCCACAGTGAAAAGGAAAAACCCAGTGTCTGTGTTCTTCAGCCTTTCATGAATGTAGGCTTAGAGCCCTCAGAAGGAAACAAATCTTTAAAAGATGAGCAAGATTCTCGGCTGGGCTCAGTGGCTCAGCCTGTAATCCCAGCACTTTGGGAGTCTGAGGAGAGTGGATTGTCTGAGTCTGCGGGTTTGAGACCAGCCCAGGCAACTTGGTGAGACTTCATTTCTACAACAAATCAAAAATTAGTCGGGGGTGGTAGCGCACACCTGTAGTTCTGGCGACTTGGAGGTCTGAGGCAGAAAGATTGCTGGAACCCAGCAGGTCAACGCTGGGTGGCGGTTTGCGTGCCACTGCATTCCATCCTGGACAACAGAGTGAGACTCTGACTCAAAAAAAAAAAAAATAGAGCAAGATTCTCAAAGGGAGCCTAGGTGAGCTCCAAGCATCAAGACACCGAAACAGCCTATTTGGAGCATTACTAGGGATGGGGGTGCCCTGAAAACAGAAATAAACTGTGTACTAAATACAAATTGTTCCTATTGTTAAAATTTTGCTGTGAACCCATTAGGGAATTAAAAAGAAAAATAAATTTGGAAAGTAAATTCTTAGGAGGAAAACAAGGTGAGGTGAGCTCGATCAGATAAAGATAAATAGAACAAAGGTTTGGAACCATTTGTGTATAATGAATGCGTACCAATTATGTTTCTTTTCAGTTGGAGTTGGAATTATCTGTTGAAGAGGATGTCCCTTGAGAGGAAGGCTACTGTAAAACTGGTAGCATGAAGATGAATCTGTGGTTTGGAGCCCCACCTATGGTCTTTTTGAAGACTGTTATCTTTTGACACCAAGAAAAATGACTAGTTTGAAATGAGTTCTTCGGCATGCTTAGACAGAAAGGTCTTTAAAGTGAGTGTATCTTTAAACTATGCTTAAATGTGTACATGAGGAATCTATTTTATGTGAAACATATTGTTCTTTTGTTACATGTTAGGTGTGGGTTATATAACTTATGTTCTAATAATTCAAAAGCTTTGTTTTAGGTACAAGTGCCATTCAAGATTGCCAATTTCATCAAGCATTAAATGACATAAGAAACTTTAGGACTAGGTAGATGGAACATTTGGATCTCATCATTTTCTATTCAGTTTCTATATTTCTATTTTAAAATACTGGCTTATGACCTGGCATTATCCCTTTTTTTTTTTTAAGTTGGAGTCTCACTCTGTTGCCCAGGGTGGAGTGCAGTGGCAAGCTCATGGCCACTCCAGCATTGATCTGCTGGGCTCCAGCAATCCTTCCACCTCAGTCTTCCAAGTAGTTGGAACTACAGGCACACGCTACCACACCCAGCTAATTTTTGATTTATTGTAGAGACGTGGTCTTTCCAAGTTGCCCAGGCTGGTCTCGAACCCATGGGCTCAGGCAATCCACTTGCCTCGGCCTCCCAAAATCCTGGGATTACAGATTGAGCCTCCAAGCCTGGCTGACACTATCACTTTTAATGAGCAATGAGGAATTACATACCACTATATTTATTCTCTTTGAAAAACAGTCATCTAGTCAGCTATGTGACAATATTGATTGATTATTATTTTTCAAATGCTATGTGCCAGATACTGTTTAAGGCATTGGACATGTGTCTTTGAACAAAGAAGACAAAAGTTTTTCGGGATCTTACAGTTTAGTGGTTAGTGAGGGAGTGGTATATACAGTTTAACATTATCATGATAAACAATTATAATAAAGTACTTACACAGCATATTAGAAGGTTCAAAGTACTAAGGAACAAATAAATCCTGGTAAAGGGAATTTGACTGAGGGAAGACAGAAAGCAGCACACTGAGGCAATTGCAATTTCACTGAAAAGATCTGAGAAAAGACTTGAAGTAGTTGAGAAGAGCATTGCAGGCAGAGAATGGCAAGTACAAAGACCCTGACTCAGGAGCTTGCTGTATTAAGGGACAGCAAGGGAGCTCAGTTTGACTGGAGTAGAGCATATGAGAGGGAACATAGCAGTAGTCCTGCAGAGCAGGAGTCCGCAACTGGTGCAGTCTTTTTTTGTGAATAAAGTCTTATTGGAAGATAGCCAGGCCCATCTGTGTTTCTATTTATTGTGAATGTTTTCATGCTGCAACTGCACAGTGGTGTAACTGAGACAGATATGATCTAGCCCACAAAGACTGTTTGGCTTTTTTATAGGAAATGTTTGCTGACCCCGATGTACAGCGGGCCTTATAAGCCACTGTAAGGACATTGGCTTTGACTCTGAGAGAAATGAGAAGCCATGGAAGGTTTGAGCAAAGATGACAGGATCTGACTTATGTTTTGTCAAGGATCATTGTGGCTGCCATGTTGACAGATTTGAAAGGGCAAAAGTGGGAGCAGAAAAACTTATTAGAACTGCAGATCAAAATGTGAGCCAAGATTATCCCAGGACGCCACTGCAGATTCAACTGAGTATAGCAAGATATTTTAAATTTGTAAAGAATTAATAGTAATACTTAACAGCTGTCGTGTGTGAACTTGTACCTAATGAGTAGTTCACAGTTTTATTATCATCAGGTCATGCTACATTCCTTTCTGTGATGCCATGTCTTTGTGAAGCTGGATTTTTGGCAGTAGCTCTAAAAAAGAGAAGCAAGTACCCTATGGAAATCGACGTGGAACAGGAAATGAGGCAGGCGGTGTTGAATTTGATTCCGCGGTTTGACACATACACTGCCCAAGAGGCACATCTGTCTCATCAGCAAGTATTGTTATCAAGAGTGAAATCGAATTTTTGTTAACTTGTATGTATTATTTTTCAAATGCCTACTTAGTTGTTAGAACATGGCATTTCTTTTCAGTTGCTGTTCTATCAAATCACCACAATCTTGGATGCTTAAAACAAACAAAAATGTATTCTCACAGTCTGAAGCCCAGAAATGTGAAATCAGCAGCATGGGGGCAAATTTAAGGCATTGAGAGGACTGTACTCCCTTTCAAGGCTCTTGGGAAATTTTGGTCCTTGCCTATTTCAGCTTCTGGTGACTGCCAGCATTCTTTGGCTTGTGGTTGCATCACTTCAATCTTTGCCTCTGTGTTTCCATTGCTTTTCGCTCCTTTTGTTTGTATTAAATTTCCATCTGTCTTCATTTTATAGGGGCACATATGGTTACAGTTAGGGCTTACCCTAATAGTAAAAAATAATCTCCTCATCTCAAGATCTTTAAACACATCCAAAGACCCATTTTATTTTCTAAATATGGTAACATTTACAGGTTCCAGAGATTAGGACCTCTTCTCTTTGGGTGAGCATTATTTAGCCTACTACAGGCATGAGTACTTGTTAAATTTTTGGCACCTAGCTATTTAATAAATGGGACTATTAAGTATTTATTTTGGCCTACAGGTGAGATAAGGCTTAACGAGTCTAGAAAGTTTGGAAACCTCTGCATTGCTAGAAGGATATTTCAGTAATCCAGACAGGAAATAATGAGGGCTTGAGCTAACATGAAAATGGGGGAATGGGGTTAGAAATAGACAAGTTCTAGATGCAATTTGAAGATAGGGCAAATGGAATTTGCTGATGTATTGGCTATGCAGTTGGGAGGGAGAGACAAGAGTCAAATGACTTCAAAGCGTTCTGGCCTGAGCTACTGGGAAAGTGGCATTGCCATGAACTGAGATAAAGAAACCCCAGGGACCAGTTTTTGTGTGTGTTAGAGGGGAAGGAGGTCAGAGTGGAAATTATTTTGTTCATATTTAGAAAAGCAGATACAAAGAGAAGGAAAAGAGGGAAGGAAAAGATACACCTTCCTGACCAGGGCCTGCCTCTGGATTCTTCATCTGTCCAGCAGAGTTCTTCCATTTTTATCGTGACCAGATGCCTCCCAACCCACAAGCCCTCTAGGCATTTTTAACTCTCACTCAAGACACGGATGGAGCAAGAACAGACATGAAGTCCCGTGGTAGACAGGGGGACTCTGAAAGCCTTGTGTCACTCAGAGTCTTGACTAGTTTGGGGCAAATGGAGTTCTGCTTCAGGAAACTGAAAGCTACAGGGCCTCTCCATTTAAAATAATTACATCAAAGATTGAGGTGGGCTTGAGAAAGATGGAGATGCAGCAATGAAGTTTCTGACTCTCCTGAAATCCTCTCACGGAAATACCTCAAACAAAACCACAACCTGCATAGCATTTACCCCCCAAACTAGAGGATGAAGTTCTTCCTCTGAACCCCAACACAGAAGGCGGGTCAAACCAATAGGCACCAGACCTGGTACAACCATCAGCATAGGAGGGAGTGGCCAACAGGAGACCTTTAAAGTGCCAGCCAGTGTTCCCTGGAACGTAAAGTGAGCCAGTTTGAGAACAGCAGCTGAAATGGTGAGGGGTGTGTCCAGTTCCAAAGTGAGTAATTACAGGGACCAGTAGTAGAATCTGAAGGGCTGAAGCAGCCTAGCCCCTTTATACTCTTGAACCTGAGCAGCCAGAGTTCCTTTCTGGGTTGCAGCTTATCACAGAGGAGAAACTGCCAGGAGGAACAACAAACACAAAGAATAAAAGTCAGGGAAGGGAGCAGAGTCAGGAAATCTTGAAAGCAAGCCTCTGTGTTTTTGATACTTTGTTAAACAGGCTGGGCAAGGCTGCTAATGCCAGAAATCCCAGCACTTTGGGAGATTGAAGGGAGAGGATCTCTTGAACCCAGGAGTTTGACATCTACACACACACACACACACACACACACACACACACACACACACACACACACACACACACACACACTGCCTGGTGTGGTGATGTGTACCTGTAGTTCCAGGTACTAGGGAAGCTGAGGCAGGAGGCTTGATTAAGTGCATGAGTTTGAGGCTTTGGATAGTTATTATTGTGCCATTGCTTTCCAGCCTTGGCAACTGAGTGAAATCCCAACTCAAAAACAATAAATAAGTAAATAAGAAATAAACTTCTAAAGAACAGAAAAGTGAATGAACAAAATGGGTATTGTCTTAAAAACAAGTAAAACATTTGAAAAATCAAAAGAAGATAAAAAGTATTCTAGAGAAATGGTAACTATAAAGGCGAAACATCAGCCTAATTATGAGTCAAGTAATGCAAATACATATGGGAATTTAGTATGCTGTAAAAAAGATATCTCAAATCAGTGGGACAGATGATTCAGTAACTCATGATACAATCAAGTTGGGATAGAAATAAATAATTTCCCTGGATGAATTTTCAAAGTGGCAAAAGTAGGTGTCTCCAAGGGAGGGGGGAGGTAGATGTCTTTGAACCATTGGGGAAAGGGTGAAGCTCCCCTTTTGTATCTCTCTAATGTTCTGTGGTGAATCTGTTACCTCTGAGGTCTAAATGCCTGAGTTCAAATCCCAGCTCTCCTACTTTCTAGCTCTAAATCTTGGGCAAATTCTTAACATACGCTACTCCTTACCTACAATGGGATGAATTTTGCCAGGTGATGACTGGCACAGAATAAAATCTCAATAAATGTAACTTAGTAGGGGAAACAACCTAAATATCCAGCAACTGATGAATGGGTAAGCAAATGCGGTATAGTAACACAACAGAATACTGTACAGTAATGAAAAGGAATGAAATATGACACTCACCGAAGCACAGATACACCTTTAAGCTGTCATGCTCAGTGAAAAAACCAGATACCAAAGGTCACATATTATGACTCCATAAATTTGAATTGACAGAGAAGGCAAATCCATACGGACTGGTGGGTGTTTGGGGCCAGAAGGAGGACGGAATAGGGAGTGACTGGCTGCTGGTTGGTACAGGGTTTTCTTTGGGGGATGATAAAAATGTAATCAGTCAGATAGTTGTACCAACTCATGAATGTACCAGATGCCACTGAATTGTATAATTTTGTTATGTAAATCATATCTCAAAAAAATTTTCAAA